AAAGAGAGAGATTCCTTGAATGTCCATCTTTATCGCGTAGTATTCCGTTCGTCGAGCTGCTACCTCACCACTGTCTTCAGCATCGTAGAGGTCCAGCATGGACTCCCACATGCCCTTGAATTTCCAGCAGCATGGTCAGTCGTTTGGTGTGAGGCCAGTAGGTCGAAGGCGACTTGCCCTTCGATGGTCTCCACATTGATCGAATCCAGCAGTATTCCAGCAGCCTTGCTGTTCTTCTTCTGCAGACTTTCGATCTTTTCTACTTCGTCGTCCGACAACTTGCCCGTACCTGTAGGGTTTTCCCAGTTGTCCGGTTTGATCTCCGTAGAGTCTTTCATCAGTTCTACGTACCCATACTTCGATAAATGGGCCATCATCTTGACCTTGTAGAACCTGAACTTCTCATCTTTCCCATCGAAGATGGGATACTTGCTCGACGATGATACCTCTACCTCCGTAGACAATCTTTACTTACTTCTCAATTCTTCTCCTTTCTGTTTGACAACCTGGATCCAAGCTCACTCTTTCCTGATAGCTATCGTTTTAAAACGTGTTGAAAAGGTGGTGAACTTGAACGCACAATTTTCTAATTTAATCAATATCCTTCCAGCTCTACTGTCTAGTAGACTGGCTATTCGTTTCGTTTCTCTTTCTCTCTCCGTTCAGATTGTGAGCTCTACAACTGAGCTCCGATATGCATACATATACCAGGATCTTTCGATCCTCTGTTTCGCAGTTTCATCTACAGATAGATCTCGTCGATCTATCTTCCTGAAGTGCATGGTTGGCCCTGGAGGGCTTTCCCACTTTACTAAACTTATGGACCTTCATCCGTCCATTCATTTGCTTCCATCCCGTCGCTCCTTGCATTCATCTCTTCGACCTAACTTCCTAACCTTTGTAGTTGCATACATCTAGACGACCATTGTCCTCGTTCCTCGTACTAACACCTGGCCATCTGATGATGATCGGATAACCATCTGATTTGAGTCACACATCCCCAATCACGAACCGTGATTGTGGATCCCGAGTCGTCTGTCCGTCATACGAAAATACCTTTCTGACACGCACGCATTTATTTGTTGGTGGGGGTTATGATCCACGGGGAAGAATTCGGGTCAAAGCAAGGTCAAAGGGGCGAACAAATTGATCATGCATACTTTGTTTGGGTCCTGTCTTTTAACACCTCTTAGACGAACCTACTAGAGCAACTTGGTTTGGTGTTGACCGCTTGTCTGCTGCGGGGCTGATCTGCTATCTTCCTGGACGACCTTGATGACAAGAGGAGCTTCTAGTACCATGGTAGAGCAACGATACAACGATCGCAATGACACGGTTGGGATTGTACGACACATATTATCGGGAGAATGCTTCCCAGCTGGGAAAACGCACTGACAACATTGGTTTAAGTCTAGATTGATTCACTTGTATACTATCGCAGTGCCACGGAAACCGGCTGGAATGGAAGGCTCAATTCCTTCTTGGTGACGATTGCACTGACGAGCTGATGAGCTCGGGCAGCTGACTGCCATTCAATGGCAGAGTTGTGGGCGGATGCAAAACAAGTTGGCTGGTCGCTGTGCCACGCACCAGAGCTAATATCTAACAGAGCGCCCAGGCTTAATAGTATTGGGCACTACCGTATCGGTCCCAGAGGAGTTGTGCTTCTTGCAGAATGCACTCAATACAGTAGAAATGTACATGTTCGATTCTTGTGATGGAGAACTGGAAGCAAAGGAAAACATGCATCTCTGCGATAGCCTGATAGCCTTCAAGGTGAAAATACAACTTCCGGTGCGAGATCCAAAGAGCCATACTAGCTAGCTAGCTAGAAAGCTAGCTAATAGAGTCCTTTACTTGCCATGATAGAATCGCGATTTCATCAAGCCTCCCGTACCGTACTCTAAAACCCAGCATTGGCTGCTGCTCCGCTGCTGCGGGATCACTCCAAGGTTGCATTAGAGCAGAGACAATCACACGCAATCCAAATCGAGATTGCATGGTGCACGGTAGAATAATGTGCACGAGGAGTTCTGAAAATAGCAAAACTCTTCTGGCATAGTACCAGATAAGCCATGGCTTCCACTTACATTTAACCACCCCAAGTTTGTAATTAGCAACAGCTCCGAAGGTGGTTGGGCGGAACGTGGAAACGCTTTGTGACGTGCTAGCGAAAAGAGCCACTCCACCAGCTTAACTAGCTTGAATCGACAATCACGATTTCCCCACCTTTAAGATTGACCAACGTTTGCTTTCATGGTTGACCTTTTGCGTGCAAACAATGACGATCATTTATAGTTTTACATAGATGTAGCTAGCTAGCTAGGTGCAGCGAGCTCGTTCCACCCACGACCATGGTTGTTTCCGTAGAGAATTTTAAAATTACAGAGTGGCTGAGTGGCTGACTCGACTCGACTCGACTCCAGTCTGACTGAGAGTGTCGAGACGTGACATGCTGAAGTACGTGTATTTGTTTGCTTGGATGACATTATTTGTCTATTCATTCCATTGGTTTGATAATCTAAATCTTGCATTATGATATTGTTATCATGGTTGCTTCTATTGTTGTTCTAAAATTGGATATGGTACATTGGTAGTGGTACAGTCGCACGTACGTACTGTACATGTACGAATAGCATAGAGTACATGCATGGTTGTTTCTTCTGTTTTGGAGTACGGTAGCATTGGAAGGTAGGTAGGTACATGGGAAAGGTTTTGTTTGTATTTTGTTTTTTTGCTTGTTTGGATTGCACGAGTGCTGCCTGACTCCGGCTCCGATTGTATGTTGCTTGTCTGGAAAACGGAGAATTGGAGGGTGGAGTTAACTTGAATGGCACAGAAGTACATGGTAGCAAAATCGTGGAGCCAAGCAAATTGGATTGTTTGCCGATTGGAAGCATTGGAAGGAAGCAGTTAGGCAGACATGGCTTTTGGTTGCTTGATGTTCTGGTGGTCATTTTGGGTACTTTCGGCAGTTTTGGTAGTTTTGGTACTAGTAGTAGTAGTGCTTGGACACATAAACACCCCATAGGTCCATAGCACCCACGCCATGGACCAAATGCTAGCTTGTCGTAGCAATGCAGTAGGTTCTTGAGCCGTGAGCACTCTAGCCATTCCCGTGCCCATGAAGAGTCCTTGTCCCACGTGTAGTTGAATGGTACGCTTGGTGATTCTGCTGGTCTTGATATCTTCTGTGCCTACAATTGCAGTGCCTGTCATGAGACAGAAAATTTCCCCAACTTCCAGAAGCATGAGTGGCAGCAGTAGAGCTGCCAGTAGAAAGAGTAGTGGAGCTCTGCCATGAGATTGTTCAGGACAGAAGAAAACCCAATAAGCTCCCAGAGAACCACTCAGTAGACTCGCTAGGAAATCTACTGCTGCTATTACATGCACTACTGCATGTACTGAAGTGACTAATACATCTTCATCTGCTTCTTCTTGTTGTGTACTACTAGTTGCAGTAGCTTCTACTGGCACTGGCACTGGCATTTTGGCTGTAGAGATAGGTAGAGGCCGCTTCTTGCCAGCTACGTGAGCCTGTAGTATAGTACCATCGGTAGCGCTGCTGCTCGGTATTAATAGTCCATGGTTGCGCACCAGCAGAGACCGAGGTGCCATGGTGCGCTGATTCAATGCTTTGTGCTGACAGTGGCACATACATTCAGGAACACCAAAAATAAAAACAGTTGCTGGTTTTGAAAATGATCGAACCGTAACAGATCTTAGATCTTAGTAAAGTCGATGGCGGAGAAATTGGTTGGGTCAATGCCTTTTTGGTTTATCATTATTTATCATTCAAGCGGAAGAACACCCTGGCAGTCTTTTTCTGCGACCACTGGTTTGAACACGCGATTGTGACACAGCAAAACGGGTAAAAAGCAGTATCAGAGCGTTCCCGAAAATGGTATTGTACATTTGCAACACAGAAAAGTGTTTCTACTAAGTAACCAGAAGTGTCTTGAGTGTCGTTTGCTTATACTGAATCAATTCTGCTGACTGAAAGATTCACAATCGGAAGATGGGTAGTCGCTCCCAAGAATGCCCAAGTTTGGCTGGAGATCCGAAAGTGACAAAGCAACTAACTCAAAGCTCAAAGCATGCGGTATCGACGACAGCTTCACCCACCAGCTACCCACCACTGTACATTGCACAATGCACAACACTCCCTTATCTGCCTTAAACTTGCTCTTCCTCAACCTTGATTAATCCAACAATGGTATGGCAAGCTAGAGAATCAAAGCAACGGCAAGTAAGTAACCAGCTTCTAGCCAGTCCCGAACCAGATTCCAAGGACGTTCGGGGCATCTACATGTAGCATTTACATGGATGCATGGTACGGTAGAACCAACCAAGGAAAACATCAAAGACCTTGCTTTTACCTTGGCATGGCAACTGTCTCGCAGACGCTAGCATCGTCGAGAGCTTGCCGAACGACTGCAACTAGCTATAGCTATTCTACGCTAAAAGAAGGACAACAGTACTAGTAGCTACCTGGTAACATCCTCTCCCAATCCTAACAACCACAACGAATGTTTGTACCTCTACCGCAAGTTCCGGTGAGGACTGAAGCCAGATCTATTCGAGATCCTGAAGACTCATCCAACTTCCAGCATCTTGGACGAGCTACAAGTAATGAATAATACTCCAGTTAGTTGTACTCGATTAGAGAATTTCAATCGCAAGAGGACATTCTTGTTTCTGGATGGGTCATCACAAAGAATCTTGCTTTCAAGTTGCTTTCCGAGCTGCTTTCTGTTTGCTTCTCTCGCGTGAACCCCGTGAACCGACGGCTTTTAAATAAATCTACAGCACCACAGGCAGCACCAGCTACCAGTACAGTAGTACTGTACTGTACTTATTGGCTTAGCGAACGCTCTCTCCTGTAAAAATCCGAAATCAGAAAACGATTGATTGATGGACAATGGGAAAAGCTGTTCGTGGATTTCGAGGAAGTGAACTGCCTCGTCCTCTAAAGCTTGTTTAGCCGACGACTTCTTTTGGCCCAGCTCTAGCTAGGTTCTAGTCTCTGTGTGGTTGTTTTTTGCTCGGGTTGCGTTATTACAACATGCTGCTGGTAACCCAATCCCGTGGTGTGTGCTGTCACCGTGGCTGAGGCAGTTCCTACTAGCTTCGCAAGGTCTTGGCATCCACCCAGGACGGAAGGAGCCGGAAGCAGAGCAGTGCCGTTCTCGACTAGCTAGCTTTAGGTTTGTTGCATAGTGGGGTGGAAGAGTACGACGCACGGTAGTAGTAGAATGCTACTACTATGCACAGGCCTTGAGTTTCCACGGAGGGGGCGTCTGTTGCCTCGAATGCAGCCATGGCTGTATGTTCTACTTTCCCATTCTCTGGTCTGGAGAACTTTTAGAGCCTGATTGAATCATTCCAAAAAAGGGGGATTGTCGAGAACAAGCTACCACTAGCCAGCCTGAACCAGCTCCAAAGCCTGAAGCCCCCAAGACCACTCCAGCCCCTACTGAAGCCAAGCCTGACCCAGCCAATTAAGAAGACTCCGGAAAACCAACCATCCAATAAAAAATGTCAAGAACAATGCACCGCCGATGCCAAAGATAAAACCAAATTTGAGGGACTAGATCTCACACAGGCCAAGAACATGTTGGCACGCCTCCAACCTCCAGCAATTCCGTCAGCAATGGATTGACCAAAAACTCAAAGTGGATTATGGAAAGTACTATCAAGATGTTTTTGAACCACTGGAACAAGACGAAAATGAAAATGGACAACAACGAGTTCATGTCGGCAATCAACGGGCCTTCAAAGATCCCAAGCAACAAGTTACATGCACCATCGGGATACACCATTGACAACGCGTGGTCTACACCGTTGGTACTGTAGCATGGCAACGAATGCTTCGCAAATACCAGATCAAATTGCTGCTCCAAGTACAACTCGCCAGCCATGATTGCCCAACAACTAACTCAATCCACAAGGGATCGCAAGGAAGAGAACATGACCTTTCGTTGGAAACAATCATCAAAGAACCCACGTTTTGTCACGCAGCCATGCTACCCGCAGAGATTCGTTTTCAGGGACTCTTGACGGAGAACCCCGATATGGTAGGCAACGTAGCTAGTCTAGTTGAGCAGAACTATGAATTTGGTGCCTTTCAGACTCAAGTGGTTGCCGTGGAATCCCCCAATCCCATCTGGGGCAAGGTACCAAATTCCTTTCCAAACATCTGGCAACCAGGGTACATGGTCATTGGCATGAAGGATGATTCATGAACACCAGGTCTGTGATGAACTCCTCAACACTGATTACAAGGATTACTTCTTGATCACCAGCCAGGGCCCTGGGGGCGACTATGAAATCCTCTGCAAGGATCATCATCAATTAACCAACCAACAGTGGAGCTATGCTGCCCAGGGCAATGAACTTCTGAAGGTAGTTTTGATTCTAGCTAATTATGAAAGTCTAGCTGGTTGCTTTTTAGAATAGCAGGAACAGTCGCAGCCACACATACATGTAGTTGGTCCGTGGCTGCAATCAAACAATCCAAGAAAGCAAGGTTTGACCAAACAAGTACCGGTACAGTAGGTACAGGATGAATTCTGGAAATAGCAAAGCTGCATGGAACAGATCTATTCCAGTCAGAAAATTTAATGGCAAATTTGTTTGACCTCGGCAGTCTTGCCAATGACACGATCGAGCTGCCCCAAGTGGTGGGTTTGGCAACGCTTAGATACCAGGTAACGGTACGGTAGCATCTGCGACTACATGTACTAGCTAGCTATCGCGTTCGAAGATAATCGTGCTACGGTACCAGTTCATTCAGCATGTATTAGGTGTGCGTCCACCTTTTTGGTTCTGAGAAGTGCGCACAGACAACATATCAGTTTGCCCACGAACCTATTGTACGTGCACGCACGGACGCCACTTACGATTGTCGAGGTTGAGGAAACGGCGGAGTGAAAGAGAAACAAGATTTCGAAAGCTCTTCACAATAAGATCAATATAAGTTCCATTTTTTAATTAAAAGAATTGTTCCATCAAGTTAACCCATGTACCGATACCCACCCACCATGAACGCAATCGTTTCCTTATCTATCGTCTTGCTTATTGCCGCTGTCGCGTCAATGGCGTCCGCCAATAATAACACGAATAATAAGACAGCCTTGCTGATCGTGGACGTTCAAGAGTGTTTCATGGAAGCAGCTGGTACATCTTCGGGCGTCGATGGCAGCTTGAGCGTGGCCGACACTGCATCCATTGTTCCTCTGATCAATCAGCTTCGTGACGAAACGGAATGCCTGTTCGACGTTGTCATTCGTTCGCAAGACTTTCATCCGCCGCACCACATTTCCTTTGGCCCCACTCATGGATGGATTGGAACCCTTTGCGCATTTGTCGTCGGGCAAAGGAGAGTTGCCCATTACGTGTGTCCATCCTTCTTCCGGATCTACCGAAGATGCCAGTTGCTGTCCTACGTACCATTTGGAGCCTTACGATTGCGAGACCAAACTCTGTCCCAACACCAATAATACTGCCACCAATGACGCGTACTACGTAGTGTTGGCCAGTCCAGCTTGCACAGTTTGCAAAGAAACACCCGACGAGTGTTTTGAAACCACACAGGCCATGTGGACCAATCACTGCTTGCAAACTGGAGACTCCAGCTTTCCTCCTGGCCTGATTGTCACCAATAATAAGGACACTGATATCATTGTGCAAAAGGGAAGCAACCCATTTGTTGATTCCTACTCGGCGTTTATGGACAATACCAGGAAACTCTCAAGACACCGTTGGATCAAATTCTGACGGATAACCAAATTACTACCATTTATGTGGTGGGCATTGCCACCGATTACTGCGTCTACTATTCCACGTTGGACGCAATCAGTTTGGGGTATGAAACAATAGTGGTTATAGATGCCACTCGTGGCATTGCCAACGAAACGGTGGACGCTGCTCAACAGGACATGTTGAACAAGGGTGCCACCATTATGAATGCAGCGGATATCCTGGCTTTGGATTATCCTTGTTCAGCTCCAAACGACACAACAACAACAACGACATCAACATCGAATGCATCATCGGCTGGAGTGGGTGGCAGCACCATCCAATTTATTGGTGGGCTTGCCTTATTGTCATTGGGCTTGCTGATCACCTCAGCTCTCGCTGCACTTTAAATGCATGTTGACGGTGTTTTATTAATTGCTGTACATGTAATGTATTGTGTGCCTGCGTATTATAATAAAATATACCCACGTAGACTGATAGACAGGGAGTGGCGGTGGCGACATTGAAATGGGAAGTCGAGTGACAGTCCAGCAGATACTAATAAGGATGGCTTGGAGGAAGCAAGACCCCTGGCTCACATATGGTGGAGATTTACACCGTGGAATTAAAGTTTCATTCAACAATACACGCAAGGCCTACCTACCGATAGATAGATCTGCGACAATAATCGAGGCACAGGCCAACAGAAAACAACAACAGCGGTGTCAAAAAGTACCTTGCCCTGATCATGCAGTGGATCGTCTTCAACTCTAGTAGGAGGAGGTGTCGCCATGGTACAGTCGTATGGTTCTAGCTACTTTCTGGCTAGTTAGCTAGGCAGATACAGATGAGATCTTTGCAATGCAGCGTACGTCGGTATATTGTCCATGCATTCTTGCATGCATGCATGCATGTGTCCTTGCTTGCAATTGCTGTGGTCATGTTTGTTTGTTGCTGTTGGGTCATTCAAAGCGCACTTTGAAAACACCGTTGCATCACATCGTGGTAATGCACCGTGGAATTTTGACGACACGACGACAAGGACAGAACTACAGCCTGCCATTGTTTCTGCGAGCGTCGGACGGCAGCACGACGATGGTATGGTGGCTACTGATGGTTGTGGCCTGGAGTCCTCCTGTGGAGTTAATACGGCGGAAAATCAAGCCGATGGAAATGACGACGACGACGACGACAAGGCCCGTGACTATCGCCACGATGGACGATGGAAAGAGTGATAGTACTAGTATCTCTGCGATGGAAGGAGTGACGGCTGAGTGAGGTCGGCTTGCAGCGGCTGGAGGGAGCGACTGGGTAGGGTATAGGAGGAGTGACGCCCCCATCAGTCAACATCAGGATCGACCACAGGAAACTAGAGCACTATATACATACACTCGAGAATCTCCTGCCTCAACCTACGTTGTATTGTATTTCGATTTTTGGCATCATCGTAAAAGCAGACAACGTTCGATGCTCTATAGTCGCTGGGGGATGAGCAAACTTGCTCATGGCTCTGTGTTGAATTTGTTAGAGCCTTTTTGTAAAAATTGTGTGCCCTAAGCCAATCTTTTACTTTGGCTGTTTTTCTCTATTGGATTTGATTGGATTGCATTGGATTAGATTGGATTGCCATTGAATTACAGTTTACTATATAAATAGCAGTAGTATTTGGAATCCAATTCAATCCAATTCAATGCAATGCAATGCAATCCAATCCAATTAAATTTATCTTCCGGTAAAAATACGAATTTTGTCTTTTTAACTGATTTTGGCGAGTCACACTCCAACACAATACAGGGCAATTGCAAATTTTGCCCATCCCCCTGCAGCCTTTTTATTCTTTCTTGTCCAGGCGCGAGTTCCTCGAACTTTCACAGCCTTACGACGTCACTCGAGACGGGTTACCGGCAGCCCTGCTCACCTCCCTGCTGCTTGGCACCGCTCTCGAGTCACGGAATCGTACCCTATGGTCTCTATATTTCTCCCTGCATTCCCAATAAATCTCTGCCCAGCCTGCTTTTAAAATTTTAAAGAAAATGAATCATGAAGCTTTGCATCGGTGAGTAGTGACCAACAGTAATGTACATCCATCCATCTATGCTGACGCTGCTGTCTATCTAAAGATGGCTGCAGCACAATAAACATGCATAGTTGTTTACCTTTAGAAATATGTAGCATAGAATCACAAGGTTGTGGAATCAGTCACTTCAAAAGATCCATCTGCTCCAACCAAAACGCCAATGGCGATTTCAGTGAAGTTCCCCCCAGCTACAAAAGAATACAACACTGTTTGGTTGGTGGCTGTCAATGTGATCCAACCAGAGGATATGCCATCACCAAAACTGTCTGATACAACCAGTCTGTACCTGTTGCTGGCCCTGACCGAGAGGAGAGAGGAGTAAACATACACTGGAATTGCCAGTGGGCCGCCTGATTCCAGTGTGTCCCAAATACCAGTCACATTGGTTTCCTTCTGCCAACCCCAGGATGTTTCCTCTGGATACTCATCAGTTTGAATATTCAGCATGACATCAGCACCTCTTGTTGGAAACCGCCCAGGCCAATCAGGTGGAGCTTCTGTGAGACCAGCACAGGAGGAAGCCGGAGGAGTTTCATTTAAGGAACAATCACACCCCACCAAAGAACAAAGATGCTCTGGCACAGTTCCTGAGAACTGATTCCCATACAGTATCAACCTCATAGAAGCATTCAATTGGCTGGGCAGTGTTCCTGTCAGGTCATTGTTCTGAAGAGCTAGGGATGTCAGTGATGTCATCATGCTAACTTCTGTTGGGATTGTGCCAGAAAACTGATTGTCATCAAGGTGAAGCTCCCACAACGATGTCAGAAGCCAAAGCTCCATGGGAACAGAGCCAGTGAATTGATTGTCATTCAACTGTAGCATACTCAAAGCAGTAAATGCACCAAACTCTGAAGGAACTGGACCGGTAAACTGATTATAAGAAAGGTCAAGCCAAGATAACGAGGAATGTTGACCAATTTCTGAAGCGAGTTGACCGGACAACTCATTTTCGTTCAACAACAGCTGGGTCAAAGCTGTCAAGAGGCCAAGCTCGGAAGGCATTTGACTGGTAAGCTGATTTTGATACAACTGTAACCAAGATAAAGCAGTCAGCTCTCCAAGCTCAGAAGGGACTGGACCGGTCAACTGATTCTCACTTAGACGCAGCCAAAACAACAAGGTTAGGAGCCCAAGCTCTGAAGGAACTGGACCAGACAACTGATTTCACAAGCAAAACAGCAATCCAATGAGGTTAGGAGCAAAGTTCGGAAGGAAATGGCCCGGTAAACTGATTTTGATCCAACTCAAACCAATTCAAAGCAGTCATCTTTCCAATCTCAGAAGGAACTGTACCCGTCAACTGATTCTCACCAAAATTTAGCTCTTGCATCAAGGTCAGGAGCCCAAGCTCAGAAGGAAATGGACCCGTTAAGCGATTGCCCGATAGGTCAAGATTGTCCAATGAGGTTAAGAGCCCAAGCTCAAAAGGAATCAAATGAGTCAACTCGTTTTGATCAATGTGAAGCCTCTCCAGGAAGGTCAAGAGCCCAAGCTCAGAAGGAACCAGTCCAGTTAAGCGATTGTCAGATAGATCAACATTGACCAAAGCTGTCAGCAGTGCCAGCTCAGAAGGAACTGGACCCAACAGCTGATTCCCAGCAAACCATAAAGATGTCAAAGCAGTCATTCTGAAAAACTCTGCTGGGAAAAAGGATGCGGTCAGTCGAGCAAAGTCATTGTTGTTCAGTAGAAGCCTGGACAAGGAAGTCAACAGGCTAATCTCTGGTGGTATGGAAGGTATATGGTCCAGAAGATCAAGATCTGCAAGGTCCAGTGAAGTAAATTGTCCAAGTTCATCGCATGGAGCGGTGCCACCATACCATTCCCGATATTTTCCATACCAGTCAAAGTATCCGAACCCACTGGAGAACCAGTCACACTCTTCGACTGTGTCATCCATCCATCCATGGCCTTTTATCAAAGGGTTCCAATTGTCTCCCTCAAAGGCATAGAAGAAGGTAGCAAGAGCAAACAGTTGTGTCTTTCTCCATTCTGGAAGAAAGGTGATATTTTGGTGTTCGGCAACCCATCGCCATGCTTTCCACTGAGGCGTGTCACTGCCATTATTCATTCTTGCTACAGTGTTGTCTGGTAGGCTATCCAACAGCAAATCCAGAGCTCCAGTGGGGGCAGAGGATGGGACTTCAGATGGAGTCATGGACCCATATTCAGTAGGACTTGCTGTTGAGGGCAAGACCACCACCTCTGGTTCTCTTTGGTTTTGAGTTCTAACCACAGCTCCCACAGTGGCTGCTGCCACAATGAACAAGGAAATTGCCACAACAAAAAACATCAGCTTCTGTCTCTTCTTCGTTTGCTCTCTCTCTTGGAGCTGTTGTAGATCCACTGGAGCAGCAGCTGGCATATTTTTCTCCTCGTCTTCATCTTCCAGGACTAGATTTGCCACTGCCAGTTGGCGTTCACCGCTGGTGGGCATTTCATCATTTGTTTGAAGCAGTGTAGAGGAATCTTCATCATCCATCTGCACCAATGGTTCATCCGGACCAGTGGTACTGGCACCCACAAGAGAGAGTCGTAGGTTATTGGCTCTTTGTAAGGCTTCTCCTGGTACACCCATATAGGCTCCTGGTCTCTGCTGGGTAACTTCAGGTTGTACCATTGAATTTGAAGCGTTTGCGATTTTTTCCATTTTGGCATTTTCATTGAGTTCGGTTGCCATTTGCATGAGATCATCCATGGGCGTGTTATAATTGTGTTCTTGGTAATTTGCAGCAACTGTAAATTTTTCCATTTTGGCATTTTCATTGATTTCCGCTGCTATTTGCATGAGGGCAGTGATATCGTTGTCCTCTGCTGTTGGCAATCCTTTGACAGGAATACCCCCAGCAGGGATAGCTGCCTCTTTCTTTGAGAAGAATGATAGCTGGCCGCTTTGTTGGGGGTTGCTGAACTGAGCTTTCATTATGCCTGAGTTTTTGTGTTCTTTCTTGATATCATCGATTTCATCTACAGCTTGATTGGCTTCTTTTGTAGCTTGCCAATGATGTTTCTGTTTCTGCTGGTTAGCTGTTGAATGGGGTTTAATGCTTCTACTGTTGGTACCAGCCAGGTCGGGGACTGTCGTTTTGACTGACTGTTTCTTGACAGCTTCTTCTTCTTCTGCCTGTGTTTTTGCAATGGTGATTTCATGGTCTCGTTGGACTTGCAAGGCTTCTGCCTCTGCTCTCTTGATAAGGGCGTCCCTTACCGCCGGGTCGAGAATATCGTCATTACAGGTACCAGTGGCGCCATCATCAGTACCGTTGGTCCTGGCGTCATCGCCCTTTCCTCCTTTCATCTTGCTTTTATAAATACTTCTTGTTGCTTCTGCGCGTGCTGGGTTTGTATCTATCTGTCAATTTTAAAAGTCGATAACGAGGATTGAGGAGGTGCTCAATTGTTTAATGGCTGCGTGAGGAGTACAATTTGGGACGGGTTGAGTCGGGGAAGGACACAAAGTTGCTCGTGAAAAGATTTAACCTAGACATCGTGGTAACGCACCGTGGAATGGAAGCGACAAGGGACAGGCACGCCATGAAAAAGGTTCGGAATCCAAAACAGTGCGAGGCAGGAATATACCTTCATGTTTGCACCAGACAGTTACCGAGTTTTCCTTGGGGTTCACACAAGGGCTGGTCGGTGGTGAGGCGTTCATTGAGACTTGTACTCGTGCAGAATTATATTCCCGCTCAATCCGCATCGTACTATCCTTGTACTGTACGTATCTCCACTTGGGAAAGCTCTTGGTCAGCGGAACTGAAGGATCAAACCGACAGGAATCGAATCGAATCTAAAAGTTATGACGCATGGTTTCTTTCATTATGGTTCACGACGACACCGCTGCAGCTTGCGATAATCTCCTCAACGCACGTCGTACCAGTACCGTTCGATTCGAGGATTCTCTAGCCAGCTATCGAGCGTCGCATCAGCGTTTTTATGCTTTCTTGACCAGGAAAGCTAGCTCCTGGTACCTGGGACAACTCGAGGACGAAACTCGAGGAGGGTCGGCCTTTGCTTGCCGTAAAAAACGACCTCACTCGACGAGGGTTAACTTGCTGCATTGATCTTGGGTCACAGAATCCTAACCAACATGGTCTAGCGTACGTTTCTCGACACGTTCATGCAGCCAGCGTCCTTCGAGGTCCCAATATATATATATACCCATGTGCCTGCACAATAAGCTGACAGTTCCCAATAGATTCGTCCCGCCAGTACTACAAGAGCTGGAAGGAGGACACCAAACCGGTACCAGTCACCCCCGTCTTTGCATCGTATTTAGATTGCAACAATACAGGGACACCTGTTTTTACGGCCCGTTCAGAGACGTGCAAGTCGAAAAACTCGTTCGAGCGGCGTGCGCAGCCAAAGAAAGCAACATGTACTCGGACATTGCTTCAATAAAGAAGAAACAACGGTCGATAGCAACGATTCATATTATTATCTAGATTAGTAAACGGACGCTCTCATTGGCTGCGGGGCACCGACAGTCGCATCCACAGAGCTGGTCGGAGCAATCAAACCCCAAAAAGCACATTTTTGTGCCGTATGCTCCATACTTGCAGGACGAAGCATTCTGAAGAACACAAATCTCTTCGGGAAGTGTCCCAGCCAGGCTCGAGCTGCCACTAATATTCAAATGCCGTAAACTGGTCAAAAGAGTCAATTCCGATGGAAGGGTTCCCGTCAGAAAGGGTAAGCTGGACAAATCCAGCACTACCAGGTCCGACATGTGTTCGAGTCCAGCAGAAATGCGTCCCGAGAAGTCGTTGCCTTCCAAGCGAAGCTGCTCGAGGGCAGTCAAATTTTGCAGCTCTCGAATGGGAACCGTGCCTGTAACAGCAAAACGTAATAGAAATGGGAGATTCATTCATTTAGCCAAGCATCATGATTTTTTCGGTGACAGACGTAACGTACGTACCATGGAAGGAGTTGTGCTGCAGAAATAGTTGTTTTAGCTGCGTCACCTGAGAAAGCTCGGTGGGAAGTTTGCCAGTGAAGAAGTTGTCGTCCAATTCCAAGTGGGCCAGCATACTCATTCTTCCGACGTGGCTGGGAAGGCTCCCAGTCAGCAGATTGCCTCTGACACCACGAAGCGAATTGCTTCCAACAATGAGTTTTTGAAGCGAGGGCATCATGAATAGCTCACTGGCAAGCGTTCCGGTAATCAAGTTTCCACCAATGCTCAATCCAGACAGCTTTGAGAGCAATCCAATCTCGCTGGGAATAGAGCCAGTGATTTGGTTGTTTCCAAGCCCAATAAAAACCAAGTGTTGCATCAAACCGAGTTCGGTTGGCAGTGTCCCGGTCATGTCATTGTTGATTAGATTCAAATGTGTCAGACTCTCCATTTGGTAGAGTTGTTCCGATGTGGAGATGGCAGCATTCTTGGCCCCCCAAAATAAACGCGAGAGGCTTGTATCAATGTCACAGTGTCCACATGAAATGCGTGACAAGGCCGTCAACATGGCAACTTCGGGTGGTATGGCAGGCACCAATCCTGAGAGCTCGAGACTGTCCAAGCTAATATACATGAGCTCTCCATGTTCGTTGCAGGAGGGTGTTTGCAAATGAGGAGGGTATTCCCAATATCCATTTCCCATCAAGTAGGACCCAAAAAGGGTGGAATACCAAAAGCATTCTTCCAGGGTTTCATCTAACCATCGCTCCTGAATGGGCTGGAACCAATGTTCCCCTTCAAATGCATAAAAGAATGTCGCCATGGCAAAGAGCTGCTTTTTCCTCCACTCTTGTAGGTTTGTCACATTTTGATGATTGGATAGCCAATCCCATGCCTTCCACTGGGGAGTACCAAATTTTTGTAGGCTTTCCAGAGTGTAGGTTGGCAAATCCATTGCGAGTTGATGGAGGCTTCCCGTGGGAGCAGAGCTTGGCACGTGGGATGGAGTCAAGGAACCAAAGATGGTTGGCGCCACGGTTTTTGTGCCCTGCTGTGCCACGATCACTTGAGGTTCCTTTTGTTTTCTGTTTCCCACTACAAATCCCACCACAATGGACACGAGCAGAACGAGCCAAATCAAAGCTGCAACTATGTGTGACGTTTGACTCCTCCGCTTTTGCTCTTGCTGCCGGTGGCGTTGCTGCAGATTGACGGGATCCGCACGAGCAATAACTGCAGAGTTTTTAATAAGACCAGCCTCATCATCATCATCCACTGGATTGGCAGTGACCAATTGTTGGTGGTCATGCCTATCCGTAGTTGTATCATCGTCGTCACTACTGCATTCACCCGAGGAACTGCTACCATCGCTGCGTGCACCGACCAGGGCAAACGGTATGGAGGAACTGCGCAGAAAGGATCCTCCTGGACCCCCCATGTAGGCTCCAGGGAGAGTAGCCATGTGTACAGGACCATCGCTTCGAAGCACTGGCTGGGTGGCGTGTGGTTCTTCAGGTGGAGTTTGTACTGGTACTTGCAGAACTGAATGATGATGCCCCAGATATACATCTTGCTCTTGCCCACTGGTACTGCTAAGAGTGGTTTCTGTGCTTGCTACTTTTTTGGACTTGGATTCTGCACATGCACCACCACTTGCACTTGCACTGACATTTCTATCTTGGTTGTACTTGGCTAGCTTTTCTGTTTCCAGCAGTTGCGTAGCCATCTGCATCAATTCTTCAGTGTTCTCATGCTGCTTCTGGGGAATATTGGTATCTACTTGTATGGCAGGTGCTTGTGCTCTGGCCACTGCAATCTCCAAAACCTGCTCCTCATTACTGCCGGTCTCACTTTGTGCCCCGGCGTCATTGGGAGCGCCATTGTCGCCGTTGGATTTCCCTGCGGTAGAAACGGTTGCCAGTTCCATTTTTGCAGAGACGCTGTAACTTTTCAGACACAATTTTTTTATAAAAAATAATGAGGAATTTCTCTCGTGGTCACTTTTACTTGAAGGCTGGCATTCGTCCGACCTCCTGACGGGGCAATTCCCACAACGTCACTGACATTTTCAGTCGCTCTGACGGCTTCTTTTATTCCTTCTCAACAATGGATGGCGCGAAAAGAGCGCGGAACAAGCAAAGACCAGTTCCTTCTAAGTCTTGTTTGCGAGTGCAGTACCGGAAGCGCTCACAAAAAAGTCAACCACAACAAAGTCACAAACAAACAGCAAGAAAAACGAAACGCAAATAGTAAAAGCGTCGTCGTAGTAACAGCAATAGTAATTTAAGAAGAAGATGTCCCAAGAAGATGATGAGGAAGAAGTGATGGAGGAAGAAGAAGTAGAAGAAGAAGAAGACGTACAAGCCGACGTGGCCAAAGCCAAAGCCGACGCCAAAGCGAAACGTCGAGCACCTCGCGGCGAAGAGCGAAAAAAGAGACCCCCAAGACGCACACAGACTCCAGGAGGTTCCGATGATTACTTGAAACGAACATCACGACTTTCCGATAATCCAAAAAATCTGGAAAAAGATGCTGCGGCTGCTCAAGATGGCAAATGAATATAAAATAAAAATACAACGCAATGAAACTGAATAGCGAAATTAGGAAATCATGTTCTATATAGCTAAAGCGTTTCTAGCTAGCTAGAGTTTTTGCGCGGTCCATTGCCGGCTGAGAGGCTCGGCTATAGTAGGCCTGGACAGTGAAACCGTACGCGGCCTTACCCATAGCTTCTAGATACGATGTAGCCAGTCTTCGGGAGGATTGATCCTTCTAAAGGTGCAGCCTCAGGACCCCAACGTTCGTACGGGTAGTCCCATCCCACCCAGTCAAAATCAGGAACGCCAAACGAACGAGTTGCTTGTCCTGGCTCAACGTTGCGATCGGCTGGCTGAACAAGCTGACAGCGTAGTAGCCAGAGAAACGCTCCTGCATGATCATGCTATCGTTTCACAGAATTCACGTCCTGCCATCGATTTGGATGGAATCTCTAGACCGTTTCCATTTGCCATGTAGCCGAGCCACTCGTTGGCTCAGCTTCTGGCCACGACAAGATACAGTACGGTTCGAGGCTTTTCGCAATTGCTACCAGTCGCACCACGTAGCAGCGCCTCGGCCACGAATGGAAACTCGTCCGGTCAGAGCTCTAGACTTTTTCGGGGGCTTCCGTACAGCCCGTTAGACATAAGAAGATACCGGTAAGACTCATTCGAGGCGTTTCGCAATTTGCTACCAGTGCGTGGCATCGACAGATGACAGGAACACAAACTCTCGTTCCCGTAAGGCACCTGGCGGCTCTTCTCTACAGTCGGGGCTCGTTCGTATCGTTGTTGGTTGATGCTTCGGAGGAGTCGAGTCGGCGACGAACACTCGATCCGGTTCATTAATCGTTTCCGTGGAGGTGCGTGTGATTGTTCCTCCCTGCTTGACTCGGTTCGTCGCTGACTGCGTGCATGGCACAGACAGACCGTGATGGCAACTGGAGGTACGGTGGACGGATACCAAAAAGGACGGTGTTGACTCCTGGTCGATTTGGAGATTCGATAAGCGTCTCACCTTGAATTGCTGTCCGTCGCATCTCGACTGGTCGTGTACCGCCAGTATCACACATCGAATTGAATGATTCAATCGAACCACAAAACAGAGGCTCGTTGCATGGTTCCGCTCCACGACTGTACCCCACAAAACGAAGCATGCCACGGATCACAGAGAATCGAACCATGCAGTGTCTCCCGCGTCTTTTTGCTCCAACCGCCACGAATGGAGTTGATTCGATTCTTATTTCATTTCATTCCATCTGATTCCATTTCAATGTGACGCACAGCGGCATTGAGTGCAGGAGCATTCGACGTAATCATCATCCTCCAAGTGGTTGCTAGTGGGACAATCGACTTTGATTTCCTGCAATGCCTGGTTGTAACAAAGATTTGTTGGTACATGTCCCGACAACTGATGGTTGTTTTGAAGGTACAACCACTCCAATGCTGGTAACAATCCCATCTCTGAGGGAATACTACCCGATAATTGATTGTCTGCCAAATCCAAGAATTCCAAATTATTGACAAGTACTCCAAGTTGGGTAGGAATACTATTGGAGAGTCGATTGTGGTGCATGCCGAGAAACTTCAAGGCAGAGAGGCGTCCAATTTCAAAAGGCACACTTCCAGACAACCTGTTGTTGGATAAAAACAAAATCTCCAAATGCGTCGAAAGTAATCCAATTTCAGTGGGTATTCGATGGGAAAATTGATTGTTGTAGAGCTGCAAGGAGGTCATGGCCGTGAGCATGCCGATGTGAGTGGGAATCGTGTGGGAGCATTGATTGCGGTGCAAGTGTAGTTTTTTGAGATGGGTCAATTGTCCCATTTCTGTGGGAACGCAATTTTGGGAGAGTTGGTTGTTGTCGAGACTCAAGGAGACCAAATTGGTCAGACGTCCAATCTGGGTGGGTAATTGATGGGAGAATTGATTGTGGGCCAAGCTCATGCCGTTGAGAGCGGTGAGCAAGGCAATTTCTGTCGAGATGGTTCCCGATAATTGGTTTCCTTCGATATCCAACCACTGCAACTGTGTGAGGCGTCCCATGAATAGTTGTGCGGGAATGGTATTGGATAACTGGTTCATGCCCAATCCCAGAAACGTGAGAGCCGTCAGTTGTCCCAATTCCGAGGGAATTCCTTGTGAGAATTGATTGTGTGACAAACTAAGGTCTTTCAACCATGTCAATGCTCCAATTTGCGTGGGAATACTGCTGGACAAGTGTTGGTTGTGATTGAGTTCCAATTGGGTCAATTTGGTGAGAAGTCCAAGTTCGGAAGGCAGACGTCCCGACAATTGATTGTGGTTGGCGTTCAAGTGGACCAAGTGGATCAAGAGTCCAACTTCAGTGGGCAGAGAGCCGGACAAGTGATTGGAAGACAAGCTGAGTTGGGTCAATTTGGTTAGGAGTCCAATCAGGGTGGGGATAGATGTTCCTTGCAGATGATTGTGTTGACTACTATTAATAGTACTGCCTTGGACCAAGTAGAAAGTCTCTTGAATGCAATCATGGGTATAGTTGGTGCCAAACAGCTCAAACACAGTTGTAGTAGTAGTATCTGGGGTAGCATGCAGTACCAGTACTACATGTATTAATAGTAGCAATGGAAAGACCAACAATAACAGAATCACAATCAGCCATCCAATACTGATACCGGTATATATACTGATGCTACCAATTCTTGTACCTTTACCAGCATTGGTACCTGTAGATCTTTTACTGGTGCACTCTGGTTCATCTTGGTACTCTTCTACATGTATAGTAGTAGTATGTGGAGTAGTATTGGTGGTGGTTAATGCCTCCATGGCTGCATCTGCATGTGCTGGACGGCTCATCTTCTAGCTAGCTAGCTAGTATCTATAAGAGGACAGCTTACAGTATTCTATTCATGGTTTCGAAAAAATAATGAGCTGCCATTGGAGCGCGCTGATCGTACAGTCAACGCTCGCTTATATTTATAATCTTGTATTTATTCGCTCTATAATATTTAAGAATACTCCAGTTCCCACATTTTTAACTCTAACCCTATTTTAGTACTAGAGCACGTACAATTCTACAGGAATAGTTAGGGTTAGGGATAAAATCAATATTTATTCTCGCTGTTATATTTACTGAATTCCTGAATCCCCCCCAGTATATATATCTGAATGTTGACTGTAATCACAGATTTTGAATAATATTATTATAGGCCCGAGCCAGCATGCGTGCACAAGAACGTCGTTGCAAAAACGTGAACCTGTTGCTGACCCTAACCTTAGAAGGGAATATGCGTCACGTCAAGTCAAGCCAGCAGAGTAACCATTCCCACGATCCCCAACCAGCACATTACGGATCTTCACGGATCTTCAACACAATTAATTAACAGGCCGCCAACGGTACCTACGGAATTGCCGCCGGGACAGCCACGGCGCCAATACCTGCCGCCGATACCGGTACCTGTCGCCGGTAGGATCCAAGCAACACTACACCTTTTACCACCTTCGAAAACAATCCATCCCGCAGTATTTATGTTTCACAATTTCCAAACTTTTACTCACTTGAGTATCCTTTCAAGCTCGTTACACGCCACCTTTACAGTACCCACCATGAAGCTTGTTTCCCCGTTTGCTTTTGTTACCGCCGGTATCATTACATTATTGATGGCCACGGTCTGCAGTGCTTCTGTATGTGCTACTGTCAATAATGATCGTCTCTGTATCGGCTGTACCACTGCCCAAATTTCGATCCCAGCTTCAACCACGGATATTGTGTGTGATGTAACATGCACTTAGAAGACTCAATCTCTGTTTCAATTGAAACTACATCTTCGGTTGAGGATATTACAACCTCTTGTGGAACCACCATTTCCTACACGGCCGTTTCAGCCTCTCTCTTCTACATAAGATATACAGCAAGCACCACCGTTGCCCTTGCTGTCACGTGCAATTGCAATGATCTCAGCACTTCTGCTCCTACTCCTGCTCCTGCTTCCTCTTGTTTTTCCAAAGAAGCCACTGTGACAGTTCAGCAACCAGCCCAATGCCAACTACCGGTTCCCACCAAGATGACGGACCTCAAGATCGGAGACATGGTCTTGACTGCCAACAACCGATACCAACCTGTCTACGCCTTTGCCCACAACGATGCCACTACTGACATGGAATTCCTACAGATCCACACCACAAGTGCCAAGAACAAGAAACCATTGGAAGTCACTGGTCAACATTTGGTCTACGTGCAGGGGAAGGATGCCCCGGTCACAGCCAAATCCATCATGGTTGGTGATAGCCTCACTGGAGCTGGACAAGAAGGAGCAGCTGTCGTCACCATGATTGATACTGTCCAGCGCCAAGGAATCTACGCTCCCCTGACTCAGGACGGCACCCTTCTCGTGGATGGCATTGGGTCCTCTTGCTACATTTCCCTCCAACCCAATGGCAACCCCCAAACCATGGAACTACAAGGCCACTCTGCGTTGTCCATGTTGTCTCACCACCGTGTTGCTCACATGCTCATGACTCTGCCTCATTTGGTTTGTATGGGTGGGATCAACCCCAAAGGGTGCCAGACCTACAATGATGAGGGTGTGGCTCATTTTGTTCAGATGGCGTTTGATTTGTCCGACTGGTTCCATGCCCAGCTCTGGGTGGTCCAGTGGTTCCTTTTGGCTGCTTACTTGGTTGTCTTGTGTCCCCTCTATGCCTTGGAGCTCTTGTTCGGTGCCAAGCTGGCTACTGCCATGGTGGTTGGTGGATTGGTGTTTGTTGGTTCTTTTGTTCGTGGAAATGCTCCTGCTGTGGACCCAACGGATGTCAAGAAAGAAGCCTGAAGCACAACCAGTTGGCCTGCGTAGTAAACGACCGTGCCTTGCAATCGAAGTCATGTATCTTACAAAAGCAAATCAAAACTAAAGAAGGAAGAAAAGTAAACGAGTGATATTGCTTCGTACCCATAGGCGGTGCTGTCTGGTGTACCCTTATTAGTAGTAGAGGCTCGACTATGAGGGTATTGCTGGGCAACGGCTCATGGGTTGTCCTCAAGCACTTCTCGTCTGAATTCGTTAGTGGTCTTACTGGGCAACCGGGAGGTTTGCTGTACCTCCAACACTCACCTCTGATATCGATGCACACGAGTCGAGTCACAGTCCTAATAGTCCGTAGCAAGCTGGTGATCGTTCTGGGATACTATTAATACAAGTGTCTGCCGCAACGAAAGACCAGCAAGAGAATCACAATCAACCGACCTATACTGACTGGTACTATACCTTTACCTTTACCATCATTGGTACATGTACATCTGGCGAAAAATATTGATCTGCCACTCCCAGTGCGGCATGCATGCTAATGGTACCAGTAGTCTATTGAGAGATTTGAACAAGAACTGTGAAATAGAATTCTATTTTAAGGCTACTCTGAGTACGACTATCCACCGTGCCGCTACCCTAAACCGATAACCCCCACAAACATTGGGGCGGAGAGAGTTGGCCCCCTCAGCCGGGAAAGTTTCAAACCCAACCGAGGCAAGATATTAAGGGGGAAGGTCACCAACCGGACCCGCCCGTGCTGCTGCTGTCATCAGCACTGCTACTAGTTGCACTATTGCTGATAGTGTCAACACTGCTGTCATCTAAATCAAGGTCAGACCCGAAAGCCTGATCCAAAGTTGCTGCTGCCTCATGGAAGGCTGCGGCCAGTTGTTGCTGCTCTCTACTTGCTTTGTCCACCACTGGCATCCAATTTGAAAGCCAGGCTTTGATGTCGGACGGTGCCATTTCCATTTGGTCCTCTAGTGGCCTTTTGAAAATGGAGTTGACAAGAGACAGTGGCACCTGGTCTGCCTGCTCATACAGAAGCTCTACTTCCCGTTGAAGCTGTTGAGAGATTTGAACAAGAACGTCCATGCAAAAACGTGAACCTGCTGCCGACCCTAACCCTACCAGATTGTGCAAATATCCATGTCTCAGATGTCAAGTCACGTTAAATCAAGCCAGCAGGGAGAGCATTCCCAATACGGTACAGTGATTACCAACAGCGAAATTTGGACTTGGTACCGTAACGACGAACCGTATGACATCAATGTCATCTTCCAACAGAAGTTTAAAAAGCTAAGTTCCAGATGTACATGTACCTGGTTTACTGCCGGAACCACTACCAGCTAGTACTTGGATGGATACCACATTGTGAGCTCCTGGAGAGCTACTACTAGCTAGCTTCGTGTAGCTAGCTAGCTGCCAGCTATCTAGAACACAAGAAGAGATGGATCGTCCACCAAGAAAAGAACGCCTAGTCTACTTATTAGTCTACTCTAAACCCCCGTGATGAAACGAAAGTGAGGAATCGAATCGTTCACTGTAGAGGTGAATGCTCCCTTTTCGCGCAAAGCTTCACTATAGCTAGCTAGCATTTAGTAAATTAATTAACAGACCTGTTCGCCAACGGTAGTTACCAAGTATACCTCCACCGGGTCAGCCACGCCGCCGATACCTGCCGGTTCATCAAGCAATGCCGCCAATCACGTAGGAAAACCATTGATCCATCCATCCGTCCATCTCTCATCTCTCCTCTCTGCAAGCCCCCCAACCTTTGTATTTATATGCATAGTATTCATTTTTCATAATTTCCAAACTTTTACTCACTTGAGTATCCTTTCAAGCTCGTTACACGCCACCTTTACAGTACAGTACCCACCATGAAGCTTGTTTCCCCGTTTGCTTTTGTTACCGCCGGTATCATTACATTATTGATGGCCACGGTTGTGAGAAAGATTATAAACACAAATTTGGTACCCCCTAATGCGGGGAGCTCTTTTTCAATAATCCCACATGGTAGCATGCGAACTTTCGATCCGCAAGTGGGTTCGAACCACGAAGAACTCACGTACACTTCTTCTGCACATTATTGTGGCTGTCGCCACTTCCCGTAAAGAGTTTGATGCCTCCTCTTACCCAACACTACACACTTTCAAAGGAACAATCGCACATTCTACGCACTTCTTTGCCCTAACGATTGGCGGGGATGTGAGAAAGATTATAAACACAAATTTGGTACCCCCTAATGCGGGGAGCTCTTTTTCAATAATCCCACACACGGTCTGCAGTGCTTCTGTATGCGGTACTGTCAATAATGATCTTGACTGTGTGGGCTGTAGCACTTCCGCATTGACGGTCCCAGCTTCAACTACGGACATTGTTTGTGATGTAACATGCAGCTCAGACGACGTGATCTCTGTTTCAATTGAAACTACATCTTCGGTTGAGGATATTACGACCTCTTGTGGAACCACCATTTCCTACACGGCCGTTTCAGCCTCCATTTTCGGCATAAGATATACAGCGAGCAGCACCACTGGCCTCGCCGTCACGTGCAATTGCAATGATCTCAGCACTTCTGCGCCTACTCCCGCTCCCGCATCCTCTTGTTTTTCCAAAGAAGCCACTGTGGCAGTGAAACAACCGGGACAACTACCGATTCCCACCAAAATGACGGACCTCAAGATCGGAGACATGGTCTTGACTGCCAACAACCATTACCAGCCTGTCTACGCCTTTGCCCACAACGATGCCACCACTGACATGGAATTCCTACAGATCCACACCACAAGTGCCAAGAACAAGAAACCATTGGAAGTCACTGGTCAACATTTGGTCTACGTGCAGGGGAAGGATGCACCGGTCACAGCCAAATCCATCATGGTTGGTGATAGCCTCACTGGAGCTGGACAAGAAGGAGCAGCTGTCGTCACCATGATTGAAACTGTCCAGCGCCAAGGAATCTATGCCCCCCTCACTCAGGATGGCACCCTTGTGGTGGATGACATGGCATCCTCTTGCTACATTTCCCTCCAGCCCAATGGCAATCCCCAAACCATGGAACTACAAGGCCACTCTGCGTTGTCCATGTTGTCTCACCACCGTGTTGCTCACATGCTCATGACTCTACCTCGTTTGGTTTGTATGGGTGGGATCAACCCCAAAGGGTGCCAGACCTACAATAAGGATGGTGTGGCTCGTTTTGTTCAGATGGCATTTGATTTGTCCGACTGGTTCCATGCCCAGCACTGGGTCGTTCAGTGGTTCCTTTTGGCTGTCTACTTGGTTGTTCTGTGTCCCCTCCATGCCTTGGAGCTCTTGTTTGGTGCCAAGCTGGCTACTGCCATGGTGGTTGGTGGATTGGTGTTTGTTGGTTCTTTTGCCTGTGGAAATGTTACTCCTGCTGTGAACCCAACGGATGTCAAGAAAGAAGCCTGAAGCACAACCAGTCGGCATGCGTAGTAGCTGATCGTGCCTCGCAACCAAGTCATGTATCTTACAATAGCAAATCAAAACTAAAGAAGGAAGAAAAGTAAATGAGTGATATTGCTTCGTACCCATAGGCGATGCTTTCTGGTGTACCGTATACCCTTAGGAGTAGAAGCTCGACTATGAAGGCATTGCTGGGCAACCGCACCTTAGCTCATGGGTTGTCTTCTGAATTCTTTATTAATAGATTAGCCTACTGGGGAAACCGGGATGTTGGCTGTACCTCCAACCCTCACCTCTGAGGCACATGATCGACGAGTCGAGTCACAGTCCTAATAACCCGTAGCAAGCTGGTGATCGTTCTGGGTACAATATTGCAGGGGTCTGCACTGGGACCAATATCCTACTGTTCCTCCGTATCCGCCACAAGGTTGCATGCAGTTGACGTGTGCCCTGGGCTGCTCAGTCCTTGGGGTGGTTGAGCTATATATGGTGGCAAGATTGCAGATCCCGTCACGGGTACCAATACTGTCTTTGTCAAGATGCCGTTTGCAACGTGATGCATGGCTTGCTTGGCTTGCAGTTCCTGAGTGAATCGTCGATCCTCGAGCGAGGCGCCTGACTGTCATGGTCTTGAGCAAACCGCAGAGTGAATATACATCGGGGCTGGGTTGCATGGACATTCCTACGTCGGACGCGAAACCACAGCTGAGACCTGCCCCGTCCTCCAAGCTCACGTACACCAAGTCTCAGATGTCAAGTAAGTCCAGGCCTTCTTTGCGTAAAAAACCTGGTCCTTGCTGGCTTCCGTATAGACAACTCTCTACTCTAATCCCCCTTTACGTCGACCCACCGAGAGGCCGGTCGGCCCTTTGGCGGATCGCACAGCTGTGTGCGGACGATCGTCCCGATCAATGCCTCGAGACCATGCATTTTTCACTTCACTTGAGTATCTATTATATGGCTTGTATTGTATGGTACGTTTCGTGGCTCGTCTCAGGAGCTCCAATGTATCCGTACCCTCGGGGGGGGGGTCCTCGCCTCGTACAGCCTTTGTTTTCAAGTTCCAACTTGGCTGCATGTGCCAGTTTCTCATCATTGGATATTTTCGTACGAGGCGCACCCTACCGATACGTCCGAGCCATGCACTGGCTATCTACATGTAGTACCGTACGATATTCATCACGACGACGAGATTGCTTGCATCATTGCATCCTCCTCCTTGAGGTGCTATCTGTCATGTCTTGGAGTCCACGACCACCAAATTTAATAGTGAATACGTGTGCATCCTATGGGGGTTGCACGAACGTTCCTACTACGTCGGACGCGATCGAAACGGCCTCAAAGCTCAGGTATAACACATAGCTGGAAAGGGGGTTTAGATTAGGGAGATTATATATATTACGGACGCCGGAAAGGGTTTAGTGATGCGGATCTGGACTATATGCACAGCTATAATAGTAGCAAGGGTATCACTCGCAGCGTCTTTGGAAGTTCGTACAATCTTCGAGGTCGTCGGTGCGTGTGTAATACGGTAGCGGTACGTGACCGGTGCATGCACATGCACATGCACGTTGACTCAACTCAACTCAACTCGACTCGACTCAACTCGAACCATGCACATGTACGACTTGACGTGCGCCCTGCGGTCCCGACTGTGAGCATTGGTATGCACGGGGTTGTGCTGGTCGCTGTTATGCGCTGTACAAGGACCGAGATTTGCTGCGTCTGGCTTAGGCATGATCGCAAGACCGATGATTGGATGGATTGAATCGTTCGCTTCAAAAAGCAAACCGATCAGGGGCTTCTTCGTCTACATATTACCGGTACGGTACACAATAAGCAAACCGGGATAACCCTCTTGCTACGTTTAGCACACGTAGCACGTGCGACTTTGTGAAGATTCGACAGGACATTCAACATGTAGGTGCGACGATACTATTTTTAAAAAGGGCAGGAGTTGCCGTCTATGGTACCGGTACGGTACCAAAGACAGAAAGAAAATCACCCCAAATGGCATGCGAGCTTATTGCTTGCTGGCTGGTCTCAATTGTTTTATACTACTGAATTACCCACATTGACATTTTTCGCAAGTGCATTCCACAGGAAAGGGAGCTGGATCGCAATCGACTCGAATGTGGGCCAGCCGTGGATTATTGTCACACAAATCACTGGGTACAGCGCCCGATAGCTTGTTGTGGTGCAAATCCAACGATTCAAACGACTTGATCAGTCCCATCTCAGGCGGGACACTGCCGGATAACTGGTTGTCAAATAGATTCATAATTTTCATGTGTGCCATCCATCCAAATTCCGAGGGGATGTTGTTTGTGAGTGTATTGTTCTGCAAGCTCAACGCTTTCAAGTTGCTCAATGACCCAATCTCTGAAGGAATACTGCCAGTCAAAATATCATTTTCCAAGTGTAAATCGGACAAATCGGTCAGTAATCCCAGCTCGGATGGAATGGTGCCGGTGAACTGGTTGCTTTGGATGAAAATGCGTCGCATGGATGTGAGCAATCCCAGCTGTGTTGGAATGGACTTGGATAATTGGTTGGTATCCAGAACCAATGATTTGAGTGCCGTCATTGCCCCAATTTCGGTGGGAAGGATTCCGGTGAATTGGTTGCGACTCAAGTCCATAGAATTCAATTGTGCCAGTAATCCAACTTCGGAAGGAATGGGTCCCACCATTAGAACCATTTTCAATTTTAGTTCTGTCAGCGCCGTGAGCAATCCAATATACGTAGGAATGGAAGTGCTTTCGCCCGTGTTGCCTCCACGAATGACCGTGGTGGTGGCAATCTCATACTGTGTGCCCAAAATCTCCACGGACGGTCCGCCAGATGCAGCTGGGGAGGAAGCTGAGGGGGTGGCAGGAGCAGGGGTAACAGGAGCAGGAACAGGGGTAGCAGGAACGGGAGCAGGGGTAGCTGGGACTGAGCTTTCAGGGGTTTCAGGGGTGGCAGGAGCAGTATTGGCAGGAGCAGGGGTAGCATCAGGAACAGGACCAGGAGCACTTGTAATAGCAACAGCAGGGACTGGGCTGTCTACTGCATCATTCTTTTGGATTTGCAATGTGACCAGCGACAGCAAAACCAGAACAATGACCAGCAAAAGACACACAAAAGCAACGGTGCGAAACGGGATCCCGCAGACCCGAAGGACCAAGGCGTCTTGGTTCGATAGATCTTCATGATGTACAATCTTCATGTCACGAATATCATGAGCCTCTTCTTCGTCCTCATCTTCATCTTTGTACGTGTCAATGTCCATGGATTCCATCTTGATCTTCCTTAGCATCACTACAGTATAGATATATTATGGTCTTCGCTAATGACTATCACGTTGTGCGGCTTCTGTTGGCTTCTATGGTCTTTGGAAGAGGACAAAAGATCTTTGGGGCGTTGACTGATGCCTTCGTAGTCATTAAACCTCATCCTTATATCTGAAAATCCAACTACAGTAAGAGAGCTTCTTCGAATTCGGTTTTTTTCAGCGCTCGTCTCCTGTATCCCTTTGCCTCAGTTTGGATCCTTATGACGAATACATGCACAACCGAATATTGTCAATCCAGCCATTGTAGCCGGCTGCCGTATAGTTACGTCGGCGACAGTGGCAACAGTACCGAACACACTCAGGTTCGGCTTTGTTCGCTACACTCCAGTACAAGTACCTCATATTAAATCCTTATGACTATCGTACGAAAAAAGCAAGTCGTTCGCCCAAGGACTTGTGCATACAGGAAAGTGAGTACCGACAGATGAATCACCAACAAAACACTAGGAAATAGCACTGGAGGATGAATCCAGTAGTAGGATCCACTCTCTTGTGTGCATACGAGTTGTCGTGTAGTCTCCTCCTCTTGTTGCCATTCAATGACTCGACGACGATCTCCTCCGTTCAGCTGTTGGTAGGGCTGGAGTTAACAGCTCCGTAGCGGTAGCCTCTTGTTAACCGGAGCGATCGAACTCAACAATGGGATTTCCTCGGCAGTCAGCAGTGCAGCAGAGAAAACAACAAATAGATATGAGTATTGCTTTCTGTGCTGAACTGCAGACGACCGGAGACTATCCTTGTTTTTCAAATTGCACAACTTGGCCGTCATGGGCCGAGAACTGACTGCCAACCAAAACTGGTACAATTTCAATGGGGATGGCTTTCCAATCTGCACCGGAGAAGGGTTGGCTTGAATTGGGCTGATAGCAGAGGTACCGGTACGATCGATCGATTAATAATTAAAAACAACTCCCTGTTGTCGGCCGAGCTCGGAATTTCTCCCTGTTTACCATAGGAATTGATGAGGGAGAGAAGTCAGCGCTGTACCTTCAATTAACACTCTTGATAATAGGCTTTCCTCATTGCGATCATTCATGATGTTACCCAACACATTTTGTGGCCAAGCTTGGATTTCTCTCCTGTTTGCCATAGCAATTCAATGAGGGAGAGAAGTCAGTGCTGTGCCTTCAATGATGGACTTGAACCATTCATTGTACCGTACCGGTACATGTACTCAATCAGTTTATTCTTAACCTTAGTAACTTCAACGGTCATTTTTTCCATGAATCGATCTATTTTTGTCGAACGAGAACCTGTTACTTATGGATACACATGACCGTTGATTCTGCAACTGAAGTGCGGGTACACTAATTTACACAGTAAATGCCGGCAAATCGATTTCGGAGTGCAATGAGGGGGAACCAAAAGGAGCGCCGTCTCAGAGACGGAATTCGGTTTTTCAGCGTTCGCTCTTGATTCCTTAGTTCCAGCTTCCTCACTCAGTTACTTCGCATTGATCCTTATGACGAATACATGCACAACGAATATTGTCAATCCAGCCATTGTAGCCGGCTGCGTATAGTTACATAGCGACAGTGGCAACAGTACCGAACACACTCAGGTCGGCTTTGCTCGCTACACTCCGGTACATACTCTGTTGGATCCTTATGACAATACATCACAACCGAACATGTCAATCCAGCCATCGTAGCTAGCTACCATAGAGTTCATCGATCGGTGACAGTGGCAACAGTACCGAACACACAGGTTCCGCTTTGCTCGCCTCACTGGTATCTTGCATTGTCCTTATGAAGAATACATGCACAAAATCGAATATGTTAATCCAGCCATTGTAGCGGCTCCAATAGTACATCGGCGACAGTGCAACAGTACGAACACACAGGTTCCCTTTGCTGGCTACACTCCGTTGCCGGTTGTCGCGTCGCTCGAGGACTTGTGCATACAGGAAAATGGGTCCGACCAGGAATCACCACCAAACACTAGGAAATAACAGAGGGGCGGATCCGGTAGGAGGATCCATTCTCTTGTGTGTTTCGGTAGCCTCCTCTTGTTGCCATTCAATGACTCGACGACGATCTCCTCTCTGTTCATGCTGTTGGTAGGGCTGGAGTTAACAGACTCCTCCTAGCGGCAGCCTCGTACCTCTTTGTTAACCGGAGCGATCGAACTCAACAAGGGATTTCCCGGCATCAACAGTGCAGCAAAGAAAACAACAAATAGATATGAGTTTGTTTCTGTGCTAACTGCAGACGACCGGAGACTTACCTTGTTTTTCAAATTGCACCAACTTGGCCGTCATGGCCGAGAACTGACTGCCAACCAAAACTGTTACAATTTCAATGGGGATGGCTTTCCAATCTGCACCGGAGAAGGTTGGCTTGATTGGGCTTGATACAGAGGTACGGTCGATCGATCGATTCGAATAATTAAAAACAACTCCCCTGTTGTCGGCCGAGCTCGGAATTCTCTCCTGTTTACCATAGGAATTGAATGAGGGAGAGAAGTCAGCGCTGTACCTTCAATTAACACTCTTGATAATAGGCTTTCCTCATTCCACGAATCAATCTAAATCTTTCGACAGTGAACCTGATACTTAACGATACACATGACCGTTGATTCTGCAACTGAAGTGCCGGTACTCTATTTTACATAGTAAACGCCGGCAAATCGATTCCAGAGTGCAACTGAGGGGGTAACCAAAAGGTGCGTCGTCTCAGGAGACGTAACTGCAACTTAACCCTGTTCAATTTTTACCGGGGATTTAGAATAGGGAAATTTTCTGCGGAATCCAGCTAGGGCCAGGCTTAAGTAAAGAAAAGTCGAAATTCAGGACTGACTAGGTTCTGTGGGTTCAGGGGCAAGAAATTGAGGACCATTACGGGGGGCAACATGTAGTAGCTAGTTCAAGTAATCAAAAGAGATGCTATCTCCGGAGCGGGTTACAATACCTTAAGAATTTTAAGCCAGCGGAGCTGTGTAACCTCGGCAGAAAGGTTCAGTGTAGAAGCAGATACCCCTATTAGCTAGCTAGCTAGAAGCAGATACCTGTAGTGCTTAGCTAGTGCTTAACTTGTGCTTAGCTAGCTAGAAGCAGATTCCCTAGCTAGAAGCAGATTCCCATAGCAAGCTAGAAGCAGATACCCCAAGCTAGCTAGAATACTAGTTATATAGCTTTTGCTAGCTTTAGAGTTTTTCCTGGTAGAAGCAGATCCCCCTACTAGGATGCATGTAAATAGCTTTAGCTGGTTTAAAAGCACCATCTTAGGATACTTATTTAGTTTTTGCTGACTTATTTGTATTCTAACCCTACCCTTATACCTGCAGGGACCACCGTAGCAGGAAAAACAATTAAAGGGGTTGAGGGCTCTGGCAGCAAGACTGTCGAGGTAAAAAAAGCAGACTTTGTACTGTATAATTTTGGCAAAACGGAAAATATAAGAGAGAAGTTCTTTGCTTTTGGTTAACTTGTTGTTGCCTTGACAGCCATGCATCATGGCACTCCTCCGTTATGGTACTAGCGAGGAGATTATTTTATGAATGATCGTCTCTGTGGTTATTCAGCCCAACGGGTTCAATCTAATCACAGCGTCCAGAGTTGGCCAAAGATAGTTACCTAGCTAGACAGCTATAGCTTGCTCTCACTTTCTCCAAACTAAAGAATTCTAAGTGCTTATTGAACCCTTCCATATATTATACATACTATTTACATGATGATGCCCTTAATAATTGTCTAGCTAATGACGGTAGCACAATGAAACAGTACATACATGTAGTTAGTTGGTTAGTTCTTTTACATACAGAAAAATGTAGCACAAGCCCTTAAAAAGCAAGCCCTACAGATAGAAGAAGGAGGATCTTGTTCGAGATTGCACCCTTCTCTCAAGCTAGCCCTGGCGACAACACCCGACGCCCCTTCTGTTCATTGTGGAGTACTATCAAGCCTATCTAGTTTGTATTGTAGTAGATAGATACAATTCCGATTCCTTGAAGAACGTTCCATTCTCTCAAATAGAAACTCATTTATAAATCAAAATGTATCGAGCTTGCTCGATCATCAAATTGTAGAATCGGTCAAGTCAAAAGATCCATCTGATCCGAACAAAACGTCAACGGTGATTTCAGAAAATTCCTCTGCACCTACCAAAGAATACAGCACCGTTTGGTTGGTGGCTGTCAGAGTGATCCAACCAGAGGACATGCCATCACCCCAACTGTCTGATACAATCAATCTGTAGGCTGTGTAAGTGTTCACTGGGAAGAGAAGGGAGTAAAGATAATCTTTAAAGTCCAGTGGACCACCTGATTCCAATGTGTTCCAAATACCAGTCACATTGGTTTCCTTCTGCCAAATCCATGAGGTTTCCTCCGGATATTCATCAGTTTGGATATTGAGCATGACATCAGCACCACTGGCTGGAAACAACCCAGGCCAATCAACCGGAGCTTCTGCGAGACCAGAACAAGTGGAAACAGGGGGCATTTCGTTTAGGGAACAATCACACCTTAGAAAAGAACAAAGATGGTCTGGAACAGTTCCCGAGAACTGGTTCCCATACAGGCTCAATGCTATGGATGCATTCAGTTGGCCGGGCAGTGCTCCTGTCAGGTTATTGTTCTGAAGAGCGAGAGACCACAGTGATGTCATTATGCCAACTTCTGTTGGGATTGTGCTGGAAAACTGATTGTCATTTAGGTGAAGCTCCCACAACCATGTCAGGAGCCAAAGCTCCATGGGAACCGGGCCAGTGAATTGATTGTCATTCAACCACATAGAATCCAAAGCAGTCAATGCTCCAAGCTCAGAAGGAACTGGACCGGTCATCTGATTATATTGAAGATCGATGTGCTCCAATGAGGTCATGAGCCCAAGCTCCGAAGGCAATGGACCGGTGAACTGATTAGCATGAAGGTCAAGATATTCCAGTGAGGTCAGGAGCCCAAACTCCGAGTGGATCTGTCCAGTGAACTGATTGTCATTTATTAAC